GGCCCTCGGGCGCTATTGCGGCCGTGCTGTTCTCCGTGGTTCTCCACGGTGCTGCGGGCGTCCGAGCACGTGGGGAGAGCTGGATCTGGCCCCGGCAGCGCGGGGTGGGAGCGAGCTGTGGCGTGGCTGATGTCTGTCGCTCTCCCTCCCCAGACTCTGCCGAGCGGGTGGTGCAGCGGTTTGAAGTGCCCGGCGCCTCCAACTACACGGCCCTGCTGCTGAGTCCGGACGGCGGCACACTCTACCTGGGGGCCCGCGAGCTGCTTCTTGCCGTCAACACCAGCCGCTTCCAGACCGAGACACCGGCTCGCAGGGTGAGACGCGCCCCTCCATGCGGGACCACGGAACCCCTGGGGTTCCTGGGGAGGGGACACCGAGCTGGCTTTGGTGCAGGGGGTTCCCTCCCCAGTGGCATTTGGGGTCTGTGCAAGCTGCCGTGCTTTTGGGAGCTGCTTAGGGTGGCACGGAGACAGCCAACTCCCCCCCACCATCCCAGGCATCAGGATGCTTGGCCCCAGACAGTGTGATTGAGGTGGGGAGGGGCCTGATGCTGGGGCTGAACATCAGGGAGAGGTGTGTGGGGACCAGCTGGTGGCAGGGGTCTTCCAGTGACCATCCCCTATCTGCAGCTGCTGTGGAGTGCGGATGAGGAGAAGAAGAGGCAGTGTGTGTTCAAGGGGAAGGACCCCCAGGTGAGTCCTGCTGCCGGGGGGTGTCTGGAGGCTGTGGCAGGCAGTGCCCGGTGCCAGGGCAGGAGGGCTGAGCTGGGTCCTCTCGCCCCTGCAGAGGGACTGTCACAACTACATCAAGATGCTACTGCAGCTGAACAGCACCCACCTCTACACCTGCGGGACCTGCGCCTTCAGCCCGGCCTGCGCCTACATTGTGAGCACGGGGAGTAGGGAGCGCTGCTGGGGGGGGCTCCCCCCATGCGGGGGGATCCCAGGCGCTGGGGCAGGTGCTGCTGACTCACAGCCCTGGTCCCATTGCAGAACGTGCAGCACTTCAGCCTGGAGCGGGATGCGGCGGGGAAGGTGCTGCTGGAGGATGGGAAGGGACGCTGCCCCTTTGACCCTGAGTACCGGTCCACGGCCGTCATGGTCGGTAAGGCACACCACCCCAGGACCCTCACCCCTCTGCTGTGCCCCAGCCCCGCACAGACACAGCTGGGGAGTGGGGCCGTGCTGGTGGTGTGTGCTGGGTCCCAGCAGGAGCGTCTCTTTCTCTGGCAGACGGCGAGCTCTACGCCGGGACTGTCAGCAACTTCCAGGGCAACGAGCCCACTATCTACCGCAGCCAGGAGAGCCGCATCGCCCTCAAAACGGAGAACTCCCTCAACTGGCTGCAGGGTGGGTGCTGGGGTGGCACAGCGGGTCGGGATCTCCATCCCCTGCGAGGGGGTAGGCGTGGGGATGGGGCCAGCCTGGTGGCGAGGCAATGCTGAGGGCACCTGTGTCCCCAGACCCAGTGTTCGTCGGCTCAGCTTACCTGCGGGAGAGCCTGCCTGCCGGCAACCCTGAGGGTGACGACGACAAGGTCTACTTCTTCTTCAGCGAGACTGGCAAAGAGTTTGACTACTTTGAGAACACCATCGTCTCCCGCATCGCACGCGTGTGCAAGGTGGGCATGGGGCAGCGGGGGGTGTGGGGGGGCTGTGCCCAGGGTGTCACTCACTGCTGGGGTTGGGGGGGGTGGGACCACCCTGCACATCTCTGTCCACTGGTTCCTGGACACTGCAGGAGGGGACTAGCACCCATGGGTGCTAGCAGTTCCAGCTCTGAAAGTGGCCCTGTGGCTCGAGCCTGCTGCTCCTGCCGGCCCCACTGGTGGCAGCGACCCTTCCCTGTCTCCTCTGCCCCCTCACCATGGGGAACATGAGCCCTGTCCTTTTGGGTCATGTTTCCCTTCCCCTGGGCACTTCGGATGCTGCTTCTCTTGTGCTCCCTGACACTGGGGCAGCTCTGCAGCACAGACAGTCCCCTGCTCCCCATACCCAGCCCCATGGGGCTTCTCGCTGCCGGGCGGCCATGGCATCGCGCCCTGACCCACTGTGCCATGCAGGGGGACCAGGGCGGGGAGCGCGTGCTGCAGCGGCGGTGGACGACCTTCCTGAAGGCACAGCTGCTCTGCTCGCACCCTGAGGACGGCTTCCCCTTCAACGTGCTGCAGGACGTTTTCGTGCTCACCCCAGGGGACCTGCGCTGGAGGGAGACGCTCTTCTACGGGGTCTTCACCTCGCAGTGGTGAGCGGTGGGGCAGGGGACCCGGCAGCGCTGCCTGCAGTGTGGTCGAGGGGCTGTGGGGAGGCACGGGGGTCTCAGTGGAGCCCATGTGCCTAATCTCGCCATGGGTTTTGCCTCTCCCCTGGCAGGAACAAGGGTGGCCTGGGCAGCTCGGCTGTGTGCGCCTTCCCCATGCGCAGCGTGCAGCGAGCCTTCGGCGGGCTCTACAAGGAGGTGAACCGCGAGACCCAGCAGTGGTACACGGACACTGGCCCCGTGCCGGAGCCCCGGCCAGGCATGGTAGGTGCCTCCCCAGTGCCTGCCCAAGCGCAGGACGCAGGGCAGCCCATCACGCTCTCCCAGTCCTGGCAGCGGCTGTAGCACAGCTGCCCACCTGCACCCCATGCTGCAGCCAAGCCCCCTCCTCTCTTCCCAGTGCGTTACCAGCCACACGCGACACCTGAAGATCAACTCGTCCCTCCAGATGCCGGACCGGGTGCTGAACTTCATCAAGGACCATTTCCTGATGGACAGCCCAGTGCGCAGCCAGCCACTGCTGCTGCAGAGCCGCCTGCGCTACCAGCAGATCGGTGTTCACCGTGCTCAGGGCCTCCATGGCACCTACGATGTCCTCTTCCTGGGCACAGGTGGGTGCAGGGACGCAGGGCGGGTGCCAGTGCACTGTGTCCCCCCTGGCCCCGGCCCCACTCAGCATGGCCCTTGTGTTCACAGATGATGGCCGGTTGCACAAGGCTGTGCGCGTGAGCCACGGGGTGCACATCATCGAGGAGATCCGCCTCTTCCCCGCCAGCCAGCCTGTTCTGCAGCTGCTGCTGGACCAGGAGCAGGCAGGACCCGGGCACGGGCGCGCTGGGGCGAGGGTGGGGGATGCTTTGGGCTCAGCCCGTGCATGGGGCAGGTCCTGCCTAGAGGCTGGGGCCAAGGAGTGTGCAGGAGCTGACCTCGCTGCACAGCGCTGGGGCCGCTGGCTGACCCTGCTGTGCCCCCTCCCGCAGGGCCTGGTGTATGCAGCCACCTACGCAGCAGTGGCTCAGGTGCCCTTCGCCAACTGCAGCCTGTACCGCAGCTGTGGGGAGTGCGTGCTAGCACGGGACCCCTTCTGCGCCTGGAGCCGGGGTGCCTGCCGCAGGGCCACTCTGCACCCCCTGGCACACCCCCAGTAAGTGCTGCACCCCCTCCCCACCCTGCAGCACCCCAGGTCACCCCGCTGCCCTGACTCTGCTCTGTCCACAGGCTTTGGGCACAGGACATCGAGGCCGCTGACACGGAGCGGCTCTGCCAGCTGGCCAACACCTCCCAGCCCCGTCCCCGCATCTTCCTGCCCCCAGGTGAGCTCCAGCAGGTGCTGCCCAGGCCTGGGATGTCCCAGTGCCTCCCAGGGTCCTGCCCAGCAGCCCCATCCCCACCCCTGCCCATGGCAGGGGTCCCTGTGGCCTCACTGATGTCCCCATGGGTTGTCTCCCCCCCAGCCTCGGGCACCCCATGCCAGCGGATCCAGCTGCCGCCCAACGCTGTGCGGCCACTGCCATGCCGGCTGCTCTCCAACCTGGCGTCACGGCGCTGGCTGCACGACGGGGTGCCCGTCAATGCTTCCTACCTGGTGCTGCCTGACGGGGCCCTCATCCTGGTGGGCAGCCCCGAGCGGGCGGGCACCTACGAGTGCTGGTCGCTGGAGGAGGGCTTCCGCAAGCTGATGGCCAGCTACTGTGTGGGCATGCAGGAGCTGGCCCACGGGCCGATGGACCCCGGCAGGAAAGTGGCCACTGGCCGGGACGCTTTGGAGACCGTCAGCACGTCCCGGAGCACCTCGGCAGTGGGCAGCTCCGCGGCCCGGCTGGACGGCAAGACCTACTGGACCGAGTTCCTGGTGATGTGTGTGCTCTTCGCTGCTGCCGTCCTTGTGCTGGTCCTCTTCCTCCTGCACCGCCACCGCGACGGCATGAAATCCTTGCTGGAGCCTGGGGACCCCAGCCGGCACCAGAAGCCGCCCCGTAAGCCAGTGGAGAGCCTGCCCCTGAACGGCAGCAGTCTGCCCAGCACGGTGCCCGAGCACAAGGGCTACCAGGCCCTGCAGGACAACTACATTGTTAGCACTCCTGTGCACGAGCCCCCAGGCCCCCCGCGCACCTTCTCCGAGTCGGAGAAAAGGCCCCTCCATGTCCGGGACAGCTTCGTGGAGGTGTCTCCCGCCTGCCAAAGACCCAGGGTGCGCCTGGGATCCGAGATCCAGGACTCGGTGGTGTGACGGGGATGAGAGCCAAACCCATGCCCGCCTCTGCTCTGCTGAGCCTCGCCGGACCGCATCTCCGCGGCCGGGGTCCATGTTGTCTGTGTGTGCATGCCCGGAGCCTGTGCCCTGCTGCAGCACCCGTCCTGCTGGCAAGGGGCTTGGCTCCCACAGGAGCTCCCCGGGCATCACCTCAGCCGCTCCAGCCCCGTTCCTGGGGATGGTGCTGGTGGCTCTGGGTGCGAGGGTTGCTGCGTGCCTTCCAGGGACGTGCGGGACTCTATCCCCAACCTGGTGTCCCCACAACAGGGATGGACACAGCGCCTGGCTCCGCGGGGCTGTGGCCCCCTCTATGCAGAGGGCAGGAGGGGGTGGCCGCAGCCCCCCCGCGCCCTGACTCACTGTGACGTCCCGCTGTGGGACCCGGAGCCACATGTGCGGCTGGGCGGTGCTGGTGCGGCAACCCTGCGGCATGTGCTGTGTGTCTGTGTTTGGTTCGTTTTTAATACGTTGAAAATGTGAATCGTGTCCCGGGGAGGGAGCGGGGAGCGGCGCTCGCCCTGCGCTGGGCCGGGCAGCAGCTTGCTCCCGCCTCCCCACGTGTGTGTGCAGAAACGTTTGTGGTTTTTATATAAAGTCCAGGTGTCTCCTTTGGATGTGTGTGTGCTACCTCAGTGCCTTCCTGGGGCTGACCACAGCCGGGACCATCCCAGCAGCCCCACAGAGAGGAAAACCAGCCCGTGGCCATGGCTCTTCACCCAGGCAGGGACAGACAGCTGGACGGGGCGGAAGTGTTGTGCTGGTGGTTAGATCTGTGGTCTGCGACGTCCCTTTGTGCTTGGCTGGGGCACACGGGGAGCACAAGAGAGTGCCTGGGACGCTGTTGTTGGAGCACTGGGCATCCACAGTAGCAAGCTCAGGCAGTGCTCGGTTGTTGGGGGGCCCTGTGGAGTCATGGGCTGCAGCCAGTGGCATGGAGCAGAGTGGCCCCTGCAGTGGGGAGAGCTGCAGAGCGATGGGGTGATGCCTTCCTAGCACCCCAAGAAGTGGAGGAAGGCAGAGGCAACTGTGAGGAAGAAAAGTGGGTGCCTGGGGCTAGAAGCAGGGCAGCCTCTTCCCCAGGACCACAGAGTTGTGCTGCAGGAGGGACCCCGCTGCCAGCCCGGGCGCAGGAAGGTTCTTGTCCCCGCCTCCATCTGCTTTGGCAGGAGAACCGGCCACCATCAGGACTGAGGGCTGAGACCTGGGTTGCGGCGCCACGCGTGAGCCCTCGTGTCTGGGAAGTGCCGGCAGCGCAAGCGCGGGGCTGGGGGAAGCAGTGAGCTCCGCACCGAGCTGGCGAGTTGAGGCAGGTTTCACCCCCCGGGGACCGGTGCTGCCTCGCTCCCAGCCGGACCAGCACACCGAACTTCCTGCCGAGCCTGTTCTGGGACATCAAAAAAGCCACCGGAGGCATTGGCTGGTGCTGCGCCAGCAGACACAGCCCCTGGGGCCACAGGCCGTGGCGAGCAGATCCCATCGGCATCGAGCTGGAAGGGCCAGTGCTGCCAGGAGCAAGGAGCCGGGATGTGAGAAAGGGCCACGCTGGCGCCCTGAGACAGCCGCCCTCCACTCCACCCCAGCACGGGAGCTCCCA